AAGCCTGACTCCAGCATTGCTAAAAAACAGTGGTTAGAGTACCTGAGGTGAGAAAAGCCAAGACATCCACCACACTTCTCACTACTTTTATTCCTGTACTCACTCCTGGAACAGTTCACAGAATCACAGAATGTTCAGGGTTGGAAGGGACCTCTGTGGGTCATCTAGTCCAACCCCCCTGCCAAAGCAGGGTCACCTACAGCAGGCTGCAGAGTACCTTGTCCAGGTGGGTCTTGAATATCTCCAGAGAAGGAGCCTCCACAACCTCCCTGGGCAGCCTGTTCCAGGGCTCCGTCACCCTCAGAGGGAAGAAGTTCTTCCTCATGTTCAGCTGGAACTTCCTATGCTTCAGTTTGTGCCCATTGCCCCTTGTCCTGTCACTGGGCATCACTGAAAAGAGCTTGGCCCCATCCTCCTGACACCCACCCTTCAGATATTTATAAGCATTTATTAGGTCCCCTCGCAGCCTTCTCTTCTTCAGGCTGAACAAGCCCATCTCCCTCAGCCTTTCCTCATAGGACAGATGCTCCAGTCCCCTCATCATCCTCGTAGCCCTCTGCTGGACTCTCTGCAGCAGCTCCTCATCTTTCTTGAAGTGGGGAGCCCAGAACTGTACAGAGTACTCCAGATGAGGCCTGGGAAAGTGACTATGTTGAGAACACTGAAATGATTTACATGTCTTATGGATGAATGATTTTAGTATAAAGGAAAACATTTCTTAAAGAATGTTCCATAAGTAAAGGTGTCGTATGATGCATGGAAAGCAGGAGAGATCTGTTCACACATGACTCTTAAAGTGATATATGACTATAAACTTCGAAGATGTGCTTCAAATATGTGTAGAGTGTGGAACAAATTTAATCTTTTTTCAAAGCTACAGGTACTGCTTGTAGTATAGACAGATGTCTCTGCTGTCTTTGCACAGAAGTGAGGATTTTAGGTTAACATGCACATTTTGTGCTGTTTGAATTCTTTGCTTATACACTCCAAAGGCCTCCTCCAGCAGAGCATAGAGCAGTTCGAGGAGAGTTAGGGACCCTAATACCTGCAGAAAGCTCAGAGAAGTATGAGAATGCAAAAGAACGATGCTTGAAGCTTTTAAAGAGAAAAATAAACTACACAAAATCATTCTTATAGTGAAATATTGCTTAGTTCCAGGGGTTCAATTGCTGTTGAAACTGAAAAAGGGACTGAGCCTTAGATGAAGGCAATTAGGAATTCCAAATCCTAGCTTTGCCAGTTCATATTAAATGGCAAATCAGTCTGAAGTGATGTGGCATACAAAACGTATTTGAATTGAACGCTGTTAATCTATTTTTCTCCTGTACAGATCTCAAAACAATGAGCGAACGACTCAAGAATAGGTACTACGTGTCTAAGAAATTATTCATGGCAGACTTGCAGCGAGTCTTTACCAATTGCAGAGAGTACAACCCCCCTGAGAGTGAATACTACAAATGTGCCAATATACTGGAGAAATTCTTCTACACAAAAATTAAAGAAGCTGGATTAATTGACAAGTGACACTGTCTTTTTTACAACCAAACAGTGTGCCTACTTTATGGGCAGGGGAAGGCATTATATTATCCGAGTTGTGGAACTTTAAGGTTTCAAGAAACTTCTGTTTAATATTTAGCACTTTTGAAAACCCTTTTAGTTTTGCAAACATGTATTATACTGAAGTTAAAAAAATTATTTTATTAAAATGCTTTATAATGTAATTAATTATGAAAAATTTCTTTTGTGTGCCCATTACCGTATGTTCATAATAAGTTTATCAGCTACAGCCTCAGAAACCCCACAGAACACGTGGGAAATTGCACATGTTTGGGAATGTAAAGAAAATTCCCAGACAACAGATGTTATAGCTTACCTAATGCAGTACCTATTTGATAAAGTTTTATTACTTTTTTTCCAGTAAAAAAAGAAAACAGTAAGGGAAAACAACAGTTGGGGGGGTTTCTGAAACACTTGTGTCTTTGTAGAATCTTTTTATAAGATATTATTTTTTAAAATAAACACTCAACTGGTTGAGAAGCTGTGAGAGAAGAGCAGCCAGTTCTGAAAAAGCACTGCCTGTGATCTTTGTTAGATGCAAGTTTTTCTATTCATTTTGGGTTTTGATAAATACTTTACCTGCAAACTGTAATCTCATAACCACTATTTAAAAAAAAAAGATATCTGGCTAGATGTGTAATGTCATAGTGACTTGGCTTATGCAGGACATAAGTACCCCAAAATAACTTCAGATGATCCGATTTGCCTATACTAGACAATTTCAATTGGCTTAGTAGAGTTAAGGTTTTGATGCACTCCTTGATCCACCCTATTTCCTACTCTTCACTGATGAATTCTTTAGATTATTCAGCAGAGATGAGACTATCATACACAAAAGATGTTAACAGATGACAGCTTCTAGTTTATACACTTGGCTCTGGTAAACTGGATTTTCTACCAAGCTTTATTGTAAATGCTTATTAACTGTGATTATTTAGACCCAGGAACATATTAACATTTTACAACTCGTGTTAGCATATCTTTAAATTGAGCACTTAGATATTATATATATTTTGCTGCTTACACTACATTTAAGAGGTACACCTAACTTCCTAATGGAGATCAGTACAAGACAAAAAGTTGTCACTTGACATTTTCTAATTAGAGTTTGTAAGTTTAAATTATAATTGCTTTTCTGAAAAAGAAATTTAACTTTCATTCTTGGTGTTTTATATTTACAGATGTTACACTGGTAAAATTCAATAGTTATAAGACTGAAAAAAACCCAATCCTGTGCTGTGTCAAAGAATATATTCCTGCAAAATGCCTGTGCAATGTTAAATCACAAGCTGATTCAGCAAGTAGATGTCAGGAACTACCTGGAAGTAGTAGATGTGGTACACAAGGTATTCAAAATGTTAATGCTAGACTTACCATAGTGTTTTGTATGAGATGAGTCTGACCTACATTTGGATCTATAACAAAGGTACAGTGAGGTTTTTTTTTTTTTAATAGCCAGTACTGGATGCTATAATTCAGTTGTAGTAGATTGGGCCTACAGATGCACCTGTTAAGCTTGGTATCCTGTGAAATTTTGTTATTTTCAGAGTAGATTTTCTTATTGTCTTTCAATCAGATTGTCTCTTCTATATTGAAACATTTGTTTTCTAATTTAAGAATTAATATTTTCATAGATACTGTGCAATAAAGTTATGGTAGGATATGTGGTTTTGCAAATGCTTTAACAGCTGATGAACTTTACATTTGTAAAATTAATATATTGTACTGGTACAGAATAGTTTTAAATTATATATGTACAAAACCCTACTTTGGTCTCTTTCATTAATTAATTCTTGCACTACAATATACCCACTGAAGCAATTTCACAACTAAGCACAGTGAATCTAGAAGAGTGCAGTCAGCACATCTTCCAGGTACACTAGAAAAATATGCAAATAAAAAAAAAGCCTCCAAGTTCGGTGGGAGCACAGCATGCAAAGCTGTTTAGGATTCCCAGCTCCCTACTAACTGAGCCACAGTGTTGTTACTCACCACTCCTCAAACAGTTCTTTGACAGAGCTGTTGATCTTCATGCTGTTTTCATTTTTGTCTGTTAGAGTCCTTTATTCACAAGACACAATATACATAGGAGCAAACTGCCATCCCTGTTAAGCTCGTACACACCTACTATGACCAAAATAAGCGTACCATCCGAGTAACATCATGCATACTATAAACCCTGCACCTGCCTGATACTTGTCAGGCAATTAGACAGTGTGAAGAGATTCCCCCCCCCGCATTACAATTTAGTCCTGTGCCACATGTGAAAGTGTGTTGTTCAGACAGTAGCAAATAGTCATTTTCATGTAAGATCAGCAGAGGTAAGGCAAGCTAGACTCAAGCCTCCTTGCTGCAGTTGTGATGAAACTGCAGCCATTCTTCAAGCTCACTCAATCCAAAAAACCACCAGGCCCACCACACCTGCTATCACCACCTTTTTCTGTCTCTGCTAAACAGCTGTTACAGATTCTGCTTAAGTTCCTAACAAAGAACCTGTGTTTTTGTACCTTCCTATTATATTTGATAAGTGTAATAGAATTTTAAATTCTAGGATTTATTTTCAATGTAGTTTGTGTATTCATGTATGCATTAATATCTTGTACATGTTTCTCAAGCTAGTCTGAGTGCTCTGCAACCTTGAAATCTTGCTGGACAGTTTCTCTCAGTGTTCTAGCATATTGCCTAGTGTGGTACCAAATGGTACCAGTTCAGATGTGGCAGATCTTCCCCTGGCAAAGGCACTTGGCAAAGCAGGGCCAAAGTCAGCGTGAAGTTCTGTAACAGCAGTTTACTTTACATTCCACCAAAGCACAGCACTGTGCACCAGCCTTCACAGATAACCAGACAGGAACAAAGCAAATCTAAGTTGCTTATAACTTGCATTCATAGTATTAACAACCAACCCTAAATTGCTACTTTTGAGAGCTCCGGAAGCCGTGCAAAAAGAACATCAGCCAACTCCAAGCCGTTTCCAAACACCAAGACATTTATTACAAGCTTCAATATGAAACTACAACTATTACATAAACAAGATCTGTACAAACATTGCTACTAAAAAAATCCCCAACAAAAACATTAAATCTGAAGTGCCTAAAGTTCACCTTTTCCAACCATTGTGAGGTCAAAGCAGGGTATGTCATGAAATTACATTGACCATCTTTTCCATCAGATATTTCTGATATACTTACAGATCCATGATGTAGGGATGCCTCCTCTCAAAAGTTTGAATGGAATCACCTTAGTTATAAAAGCAGTCTTGTGTCTTCTATATCATTAAAAACAAGTCACTGGATTAAAAGCAAAACCCCTTCATTTTATATCCTTAATATTAGACACTTAGTAAAACCATGCTTGCTTCTTGAAGAAAGGAAGTCTTTCATCCAGGAGATTGTTGCACAATATTTCACATAAATGTGCAATTATTTCTATCACAACTTGAAATCTCAACAACAACCAACAAATTTCTCATTGTATTTTGACAGAGATTCCTTAAGAGAATGGCATTTAGCATCTTTTTTCTGCTTGAAAATTGGGGAATGCAGAAACTTTGTATCCGTAAATGGATCTCCTCTCCTGAGTTTCCTGTTAAAGAAGAGGCAAAATTGAGTTTTGTTCCTCAAGTCACTTAAAACATTAACTTCCAGCTATTAAGTTCAATTTCACATGAACTATTTCACATTACTAACATCAGACCTCTCTTTGAATGTCTTGTTAAGAACTTATTTCCAATATTTAAATAATCCCCTCAAATCTTCCATTTGATGGAATATCGCAAACTTTATATGAAACTGGAAAGTAAAACACCTACCCTGAAATACTTGGTTCTTTATAGCTCACAGTAAGAGTACAGCTTCGCTTGCGTTTTGAAGACCGTGGTCCTTCACCTTCTGGGACAGTAGTTATATTCCCAGCGCTGGGGAGCAATGAAGTGGTGTTGGTAACATCACAAAGATAACCACGAGATGGCTCAGAAGGCTGCCCTGGGGAGAAATTAGGCGCTCTTAACACAATTCAGGGAAGCTAGCTTAAAAGAGAATGTCAATGAAATACGAGATGCAAAGTAACTCTCAGCCAGAATATTACCTTCATCTTTCCATTTAAGAATACATAAGAGGATCAACAAATATTCAGGATTTTAATTTGGAAAAATAGATTAATACTAAGCAGTACCAGGCAAAGTGTGATTTGTTATTCCACTTCTCTCTCAATTTATACTCTTATTCTCCTTTTTCCTCAGCTTTAATACATCATTAAACACACCTATAGTATTAATTCACTGTTGACTAATTTCTTAAACAAAACATCATTAATTCCAATATCTGCTGAGAAAAAAGGCAGACAGAAGAACGAATCTAATGATTTTTATAACATTATTCTCTCTGTATTTGTTAAGAAAACCCAAAAAGCCTAAATCCCTTAAACAACATTATCTCTGAAGGAAACAAAACCAATTACAGAACACTTTCTACACTTACTAATAGACTTGTCACTTAATTGATTGCCTTCAGTCTCTTTTTCATTATGCAGTTCCTGCTCACGCTGTGCCAAACATCTTTTAGACCTTGGCCTTGCATGGACTGGCAATGCATCTTTCTTGTCCACTGAACTTTTCCTTTTTTTCGATTTACTCTTGTAAGGCTCATAGAGGCTATCATCTGAATCTTCTTCGATATCACTCGACTCGATGGTATTAGCTTCAGATAAGTCTGCTTTGTTATCCACACCAGTATCTGTGCCATTCATCTTATGCTGTCGAAAAGGCGTAACATGGACACACTCTTCAAAATGGAAGTCATAAGCATCACTGGAGCCCCCCAAGAAATCCAACTTTTCTTTGGAAGCCGCTTTAACTTGTCTTTGTTCTGGTCTTCGTCTGGAAGTATTTTTAGGCCATTCCAGTCTTCCCTTCTGACGGTTCACTTTCCTTACTTGAGAGTTTTCTTTGCTTTTACACTCACGTTGTTTAAGGTCAGAATTATTGTTTAAGTTGAACTGTGCAGTTTCTGAGTCTACCCGCCTCAACACCAGCTCTGGATCTGCCTTGGTTTCATTCGACTGAGAAATATCTAAATTTATGTTTTCTACCATACACTTCTCTAGACTTTCCTCAAGTCTAATTTCATTCTGTTTAGAAAGCTCTCTTGTTGAATTGGATGCTTTGGGATGGTCCAAAACACCAGTGCGAAGTTCATCGTAATTTCTCCTCTTTGAACAGCGACGCCTGGTGGACACGGTTTTTGGTAACGTGTTACCAAATCCATCCTCTCCACTTGAAGACACATTTTCCAGCTCTGACCCTATGTTGTCCGTATGAAAATCAGATATTTGTCCTTGTAATTGAAGAGAAAAAGTCACATTAAAGCTAAATAGTAGCAACCTGTTAAGTTTTTATGCAAATTCTGAACCTATCAAAGATCAAAACTATTCTTAGGATTTTCTCCACAGATTTGTATAAACCTGTATTTGGCAATCAAGATAAGCTCTGTTTAATACAGCTTCCAGACAGAAAGCAGTTAAGTATACTACATTATGATTTTCTTCTAGACTATTCTGTTTGGAAAGATTACCTACAGGTCATTTATTTCTGAGTATTTTGCTTTGTTAACAGTTATTGATTTCATAAGTGATAACGCATGACTAAAGATAACTTTACTCTGTCACACTGTGTGGTAGATAATGAAACTGGACTGCATGTATATAGAAAAAGCATTTTCAATTCAGTCTCCCTTTTTGCTAGGCAACTTCATTCAAAAAGTTTACCAGTTGCCAAAATTAATATCTAACCTTTATGATATGTGGAAAATTACTTGACAGTTACTTCAAAAGCAGTAATTACTTTTTAAACTTATACTCGCACATTTTTTTCCTGATTCAGAATAAAGCAGAGTCTGATATTTTGATTTAGTTACCTTTGTCTGGAACCATTCCGATTAAAGAAATGGCATTCTCAGATTCCTCACAGATCTCTGACACAGAATGAGCCAGCTCATTTCTATCACTATCAGCCTCCATCCCACTTGGTAGTACTCGATCATCTCTAGAGAAAATACCAAAGGTAGTATTTACTGAATAGCAATCTATTTTATTACAATGAACTACTTCATTACATCAGATTTCTTCCTTTTTTTCCAGTCAGAAAATGAAGCTTACTCTAACAGAAATTTCAAACGTAATAAATACTAATAATAAAAGATACTTACACTGAACATATTTGTCCTAAGACATTGGAACTATTTTGAAGAACTGAAGAAAGCACTCTCTGATTCTGTCAACAAAACAAATCTTACTGTGACTAAACAGCCAAAACAAGCTTGCACTATATACAAATTTTAGACAGCAGTCAAGTTACCCACAGAAGGGCCAAAGAGGCTCTTGACTCTTTTTCCTTCTGTCTGGCCAACAAAAAGTGCTGTGGGATCTCGCATACTCAGCTCCTGCAAGCCAGACATTCATCACCAGCCCAATCATACAGATAGCAGACAGGGGAAGAAACTGCGAGGATGGTACAGGGAAAAAGACACAAAGCCATAGAAAATCAGGGTGCCCCTACCACCTCATAGCAGAGCCTCAGTCCCACTAATAACCTACAACACACTCCCACAGTGTGGGTCCCATGTCATACTGGGAACTGTGGGAGTAGTCATACCTCCAAGCTAAGGCTCAAATCTCAAAAACTACATGCGTCTATACAGGAAGGAGTAAGGGGAAGAGTTATTAGAAATCCCACCTCTCAAGAAGAAAAGGTACTTACCGCACTTATGGAACACAAATTCTTTGCTGGGCCAAGGAGATCAATTGTGTCCAGTAAATTCTGAGAAATTTTTGAAATTATCTCATTCAAGGCCGCCAGTCGATTCTAATGGGCAAAATGAGAATAACACCATTACTATCATACTCCAGTATCAGCTACCAATGTAATAACTTCTCATCAGTCTTATGAGATGACTAAATCCTGAAGATACCTGAGGCAGGTACCTTCAACTACAATAAAAAAAATAAAATTCACAGAAGATAGATTTTAATTAGAGTAACCATAAAAAATATAAAATGACCAGATTAGGTGAAAATATGAAAAAACTTGTTCTATATATTGAGTTCACTTCTTTTGAAACATTTAAGTTGATAAAGGTATCAGTGGATTGGTGTAGATTCTGATGTTCAACTTTGCTAAATCATAAAGTTATTTTCAATGATACCTCAACAAGTCCTTGTGCTTGCTTGAGCCCAAGATTTCTTTGCAAATCGAACATCTGAACCTTAAGGTCTTGATACTCTTTGTGTAAGTGAAGAATGGTAGCCTGGGCATCCCTCAGTTTGACCTTTTCTTCTTGCAAAGCCTGAGCTAGAGCTCTGTTGTTCGCTTGGATGCTCTTCATTTGCATGGAGCTGTTGGCTGTAACAGAACACTGAGTATTTCAACTTGGTTTAAAAAAAAAAATTATGAAAACTGTTGAGATATTTAAGCATCTTACTTGCTATTTTGCACTTTACAGTGGAGTTCTGGCTAATTTTACCCATTCTGGTCCATTTCTGATTTCTTTTCTCTCTCATTCGTTCTTTTATGTCTCTCAGACTGTCTCTGAAGGGCTTTTTCAAGTATTCAGCCATCTTCTACCTTTAGAAATATAAGGGGTGAAGAACTCATTAAGCTGGCGTTGCTCAGCGCTCCCCAACAGCAAAAGAAACCGAGAAACAAGAAGAAAGCTTCCGGCGCTTTTAAGTTGCACGTACGCACAGAGAAGAGACCCACAAACGCGAAGAGACGCACAGCTGTGGCCGTTTCCAACACAGCCTTTGCAGAACGGCTGCTGACGCCGATTATCTGAAACGCAGCGAGGGCCAGGCCGAGGCCTCCGAACACGGGTATCGGGGCGGCACCACGGGCCGGGGAAGAAGAGTCTGTGTGTGCGCGTGTCCCCCCGAGGCGCGGGAAGCGGGCCCCCAGCTCCCCCAGCGCTGCAGAGCGGCCCTCACGAAACCCACCGGCCC